CCATGTTAAAAAGATTCCAATCCACAGAACACAAAAGGCTGGAGAACGCATTACCTTGGACAGTACAAAATCACCATCACGACACACAAATCTGAGAGAAAAGCTTATTAGTTTGTCTTCTCTGTCAAACAATACACGGCTACTTAGGTGCCTGTCCAGACACGCCCATGCACTGTGCATCGCTGACGCTCTTACACTCACCAGGAAACCAAGGGATTCCTACGTACCTCACAAAGTCAGGGTAGCATTAGATCTTAAACCTAGTGTTCAGATTCCCTACTCTTCGTTTCTCCACCCCACATACAGCCGCTAAACACGTAACCTGGTTGGCAGCTCAGCACGCTTTTGGGTACCTTACCCCTCGAGATCTCCTTTCTTTCAAACCTGCTCTCCCACAGCCCCCACCTAGGAGCTTGGTGAGGCAGCCATGCTTATGCCCCTCGGGGCTTCTCCCGGACACAGCTGAGGGGCCTGGGGTAAGACACCTGATGGAAGGCCTGCTGACTCACTGGCCAGCCAGAAACCACCCAGATTGAGATTCGAACTTCAGATTTTGAACTCAGAGAACTGGAAGCCATAGTGAGTGGGTGGCAGTTACCTCCACTGAAAAGCCTGGGCCTGACAGACCAGCAGCAGGTGAATAGGCTGCTGTTTTAAGTGGAGAAGGCAGGCTGCTCTGCAGGGAAAAGCTCCCGGGGCGGGAGGTGGGGGCTCTCCCTCTACTTGGTACATCCCAGAGCAACACAGAGACAAGCAAGGCTGAGCTGGCTCAGACCACTCTTTGGTTCCCGGTTTCTGTGAGGCTGGAACCAACCTCAGGTTCGGTGAGATTTTTCTGTAGCCTTTCAGGAGTCTCTTGAGCAAGTCTGAGTGGAATTCTGTCCTCTGCTCACTATTCAGTTGGGACTAAAGCATTGATTTTGGAGGGGATTGAGATGTGTAAACGCCTCAAGGCTGAGTGTTCTCACCTGTACAATTTCTCACCTGGATGGACCAATGGAGTTCAAAATTCCTTGCCAGCACAATGCTTTGTCTTAGTCCAATAGCTCTGTGCCTCCAAGGAAGTAGAAGAATTCCCAGTGTTCTCATGCTGGGGCCAGGAAAGAAACAAAGACTCCGAGAAGGAAAGCAGAGGCAGGAAAAGAATGAGCATCTGGTGACTCATAGCCCCATGTCCTCCCCGGGCCTCTAGTCCTCAGAAGAAGGAAGCAATCTTGGAAAGTTGGAGACAAGCTTTGCTCCACACAGAGAGACCAGAGTAGCTGGGATTCTGCCATCACTGTGCTGCCAGATGGCAGATCAGATTGTACCTGCTTAAAGCTGAAGCCAATATAGTCTTTGAGGCCTAAGAATGTCCCACAAAGCGGGCATCTCAGGTACTGCTGTCTGTGGGAAAGGTGGAGGGGTTCCCAAGCCAAGAGGACAGTGGCTTGTCCAAACAACAAGCAAAGCTGTTCAATCTTTCTGCTACATGTCCCCCTGTTCATGAGTGGAGAAAAGGAGGACTTTCTGGTTCAGCCCCAGGCCCACTGCTTGGTCAAAAAGGCTTTCCCTGAAGCCACTCAGGTCACACTTTGGGAGTCCATGACTTCTGTCCACCTACATTCACAGGACCAGGCTTGTCCTGTCCTGGGTACAGTGCTAGGTACATATCAGATCCTCTCAGCTGTGGCCTGGCCCCAAGTTCAAAGGAATAATTAACAAGCCGAATTCCCACAATTTATGACCACCATGTTGGAAGGCGGGACACGGAGCCATCCTTCTACAACGGCTGTTCCACGGAGACCTGGGGTCATCTCCCCCAGCCTGCAGTGTCACCAACTCATGGTGACCCTACGGGGGAGGAGTCCATTCTCGCTCTCCCCCTACGTCCTCTGTAGACGGCAGAGATCTCAGCTGTTGGACTCCAAGAAAATGACTTAACCGCTCAGCCTGTTACTTCAGCCACAAAATTTTTAAAGACCCTTCTACCGCGTGGGGTCGTTTCCTGATTCTAATAAAATGAGACATAACCCGTGGCACCAGGTGTTTATAGTTGACCGACTCTGAGTTGCCTTCTGGACACATCGCTCTTTAGACCAATGAGATCACAGAGCCCTGGAGCAACCACATCTTCAAACGGCTTGGAGGCTGTGGTCCCAGCCTGCAGAGCCCGAGGCTGGTGGACCCCTCTGTGGATCTTCTAGGGACTTCTGGCCTCCAGAGAAGGGGACGCAGGCAGAGTCCCCGCTCTCCGTGGGTAAGGCAAGGCCCTGGGGGGTGGGGATGATGCCCCAACTATTAGGAGTGGAAATGCCTTAACACGCCCACCATGTCCCAAGGTCAGAGGCCTAACAATTGGGTCTTTGTTACAGAGTTCAAAAGCCTCACTCACCACTCCTTCCAAAGCCAGCTTACAGGATGCACAGCACACCTCCCCTCCCCCACCTCAACCGTAGGGCTTCCATGAACTGTGAAACCACTGTCCCAGGGATCTGCAGTTTGGTCCTCCTGCTCTCTCCCCTCCACCCACTTAGTTTCTCTGGTTAAACTGGCGGTTCACCTCAGGCCCCCTGGTTTCTGCCAGCACCAGACAGTGTGGGTTTGCACGGTGGACAGAGCACTCCAGGGTCCCAGGGCAAACATCCGCTGCTGAGCAGCTCTGTCCACCAAAAGCAAAGATACAAAAGTTCTGGAGACGGAGAGACGACCTGTTCGGGGAGGCTCTCTCTACCTGACACCCAGGGTCCCAAAGAAGCTCCCAGCCATGGCAGTTCAGAACTGCAAAGAGGGCTTGTGAGGTCATCACTCCAACTCCTCTTTCTAAGCAGCCACCAAATTATCTCCATTGTACAGAAGGGTTAACTGAGGCCCAGAGGGATTAAGGGACTTGCAGCCACCCAGCTGGTAGGTGGTGGGCAGAGTCCTGCTTCCAGGGACAGTAGCTCTCTCAGAGGTCTGGGTGTCAGACTGCGGAGTCAGGCTGCTTGAGCCCCTCACACAGCCATGAGGGACTCTTCAGGAGCGGAGGGGTCTCTATGCTTTCTCCAGGCCCTCACTGTGTCAAGCCCCGCCCGCCCCCCCCTCCCCAACTAGGCAAGGCTTCCAAGGAGCCCTAGAATCCTGGGTATGGGATAGGAAGGTAGAGGAAGAACGTCCCTGGGAATCAGAGGTTCTGAGCATGTTGACTTCCTTTTGTGTGGGGTCTTCTCCACCCTGGCCAGTGGCTGGTGCCCAGAACCTTGGGGGCCAATAGCTGTGCTGCTGACACAAGGCAAGGCAGGGAGCAGGGGGGGTCTCTAAGCCAGAACTCTACTTCTGAGCAGCCCTGACCTCATACAGAGAAGTGAGACCATTTCCCCTTGGAACAAGCTCCAAAATGTTTCTCTCTCCGCTGGCGCCTCCAAGTCCACCATCAGAGATCCCTTCCTCTGGGTCTGGAGGTGCTCAGGGTTTCCAGAGCCAGGCCCCTGTGACAACTCTAGCTTCCTGGGGGCAGGGGTAGGGGGTAGGCGGGGTGAGGGGTGGCGACAGGTAGGTAGGGCTGGTATGAGGACAAAGGCTGAAGGCAAAGGTGTGCAGGTAGGAGACCAGTGTGGGCACCTGGGGTGAAGGGCTCAGGCCTTAGGCTAGGGGTGTGGCTCTGCCGGGCGGGGACAGCCTCTACCAACTACCCTGCCCATTACTCCAAGCACAAGGACAAAGCCTGACCTCTCTGAAAGGTCTGTGAAAAACCCAGACCCAGAAGGGCCAGGAGTCCAACCTAAGATGGCATCACAGCACTGTTCTCAGGGAGCACAGTTCCTGAGCCTCCTGCAGCAGGAGCCTGAGCTCACCTCCCCCAGGAGGTCTGCTGGGATTTCCTCAGCATCTCTACAGTGACTTGCTGCTCACAGGCATAGGAATTGGGGATCCAGGAATGTCCCTGTTCTGCTTTCGCCCTCAGAGGACTCACGTCTCCTCAGTCTGTCTGCGCCTCGGTTACTCTATCTGTAGTATGGGTACAATCATCCTTTGGTCTCCCTCCTTTCAGGGCTCATAATATTGGAAGGGAACAGAGTAGGACAGGAAAAGGAAAACAGGCCCCACCCCTCTGGGAGTGTCCAAACACTGCCCAAAGAGGATCCTGCACAGGGGAGCTTCCCCTGTAGCTAACTGAAACCAAAACAAAACACCCCAGGAACCAATTCAAGCCCCAGCAGCATGTGGACAAACTGCTGATGGCTGTCTCACGCAGCTCACACTGACTGATTCAGGCCCTCCTCTCTCCACCTGCACAGATGCCAGCTGCACTTGTGGTCCCAGTGAGGACCGTGGAACCAGTAGCTCCTGGAGAACCACGGGCGGGGCCCCAGATGAGACAAAGCCTCAGCTCCCAATGATAGGGAGGCTGCCATAGGGCCCTCCGTGGCCCCCTTCTTCCCGTCCGGATCCTCCTCCCAGGTCCTGGTGGCCTTCAGCTCTGCAGGGGGCAGTCAGCTCACCAGACAGCCGCTAGCCAAACCCCACAGGCCTAGCCTTTCCTGAGACAGCCCGTGGGGGGGCCCAAGAACCGCGGCTCCCACACTGACGTCACGGCTGGCCTTCCCCACCAGCTAGCTGGCTTCTCTGGCCCCTGCCGGGACCCTAGCTTGGAAGATGGCACCAACGGGGGAAGCCACTCGAAGGCGCCCCTGAGCCAGGAGCTACCTTCCCTGCGGCCTCGGTGGGCATGGGGACCGCCGAACAGGGGCCGGGCCGTTGTACCGGCTTCTGCCGCCCTGGCCTTGCGTGCCCACAAGCCGGTTCATTTCCCCGAGCCGGGGAGACATTCTTCCACCACCAGGCAAAGTGCTGGCCTGCGGCCCAAACCAACAGGGGAAACTTTGGCCTCCTCAGCCCTCTCCCCCACCAGATGGAAATAACGTACAGCTGCAGAGGTGGGGGAGGAGGGAGAGAACAAAACCAGCCAGACGTCCATCTGTCCGTTTGTCCCTCTGTCCGCCCATCCCAGGAGCCAGGTTGCCCATCTGAGTACTCACCGCTCTCGTTCTTCTCGATGACATCCACCACCTCCCCGGCCTGGAGGCTCAGCTCCGAGTTTTCCTGCTTCTTATAGTTGGACACCACCACGTACTGTTCCAGGATCATGGGCTCGGCGTTGGTGTCGGCACCTGGCGAGGGCAGAAAGCACGCGGTGAGCCAGCGGCCGGCCATGGCCCCGCGGCCGGGGCGCCCCCTGTCCATCGGGGGAGGCTGCTCCGTCGCCAGTGCCGCTCCGAGGGGCCGCCCGTAGCCAGGGCTCGCAGCTCGCCGGGCCCCAAAGACAGGCCATATAGCAAGGCCCCACACCGGCCCGCTGCGCCGCGGGGACCGGGGGACATGGGGAGCCGGGCTGGAGTGGGGGGGGGGGACAGCTGGGGACAGGCGGAGGCCCCGGGAAACGGGAAACGGAGAGGAAGAGCCCGCCGCTGCGATGAGTCAGGCACAGCCCGGCACAAGCGAGCAGGAGGAGAGGCCTGGTGCGGACGTGGTCTCCCCAGACCCCTCGGCTGGCAGGGGCGGGACGGGAGGGCCGCCCATGAGGGCTGAGGCCGAGCTGAGGAGAGAAAGAAAGGCAAGGCAGGGAGGAGGGCTTGTGCCTCTCCCCCAGCCCCTGTGAACCCAGAGGAAAAGAGAGGCAGCGGTCCTCCCCTCGGGAGGGAGAGGGAGCAAACAGGAGAGAAGTCTCCACGGCCCGGGCCCAGGCGAGAAGTCAAGAAGGTTTGAGACCGCCAATCACTGGGGTTTACTCGCAACCCTTAAATAGAAACACATGAGACCCATCGAATGAGGAGCCAGGGGTGGAGGCAGGGGAGGGGGAGGAGGGCTGAGACTGTTTACTTGAAACCCAAGAAGAAAGTCCCAGCGCCAGCAGCCAGGCGAGCCCAACCCGCCCCCCGCCAACTTTTCCTCAAGTTCGGCTCACCACGGCGCTGCCACTGAGCCCAGGGGCCTGGTGCAGACACACGAGGCTGAGGCCAGCTTCACTCCAGCCTGGCTGCTGCCCTCTGGCCACATGGAGACTGATTCAGTCGCCCTCTACCTTTTAGTGCTGGATTTTGTGGTCAGGCTCTGGGAAGCCTCCAGCCACCCCCCCGCAGTTGAAGAGTCAAAAGGTGGGGCTCTGCAGAAGGAGGGCAGATGGGCTAGAGGCTCCCAGAGGTGGGCACAAACATCTAAGGCAGGGCATGTCCTGCTAGGAGCTGAAAGGAACCATAAACCAGAGACCTATTGGTCACCTCCTACAGGAAGCCTTCCCAGACCAGCCACAGCCCAAAGGGAATTCCCAGCACACTTTATGTGTCTACCACCCTATACATCTGTCAATGTCCTGGAAGGCTAGGGGATTCACACCACCTACATGGCTATATAAATGGCTGAGAGGGTCCCTAGGCTTCCTACGGCTCCCTTGATGCTTTGGCCTACGGTAACATTCCTTACACACCCGAGTCTAACTCCGTACATGTTCTGAGTCAGGCACGTAGCCTGTCCCGTTTTATCCTCACCACAACCCTTCTACCTTCCCATTTCACCAAAGACAACTCAGAGGCCCAGAGAAGGCAAGAGGCTTGCCTCAGCACACACAGCTGCTATGAAGAGAACCAAACTCACTGAGGGTTTTACGTTCAAGCCCATCTCTCTTTCCATTAAAGAACTGCCTCTATGATTTCTGCTTCCAGACACCCATTCTTCTAGCACAATGATCTTCTACTTGGCTCCACAGAATTGCCTGGGCGGGGGCGCTTTTAAAGAATACTGAGGCCTGGGTTCCACCCCCAGAGGTCCAGATTTAACTGGTCCGTATTTTTTGGACACTCCCTCCTCCCCCGTGGTTCCCAGGTGCAGCCAGGGGGCAGAGGCACTGCTTAGACCAGGGCAGGGAGCAAGGAAGGAAAGAAACCCAGTGCCCCACGGTTTTCTCCCAAGAGGTGGGGGCCCTGTAGCCCCAGCTCAGCCCTCTGGAGCCCCAGAAGGGACCCTGTCCCCACTGAGCCCTGCCACATGGATCTGCACACGCACAGCCCCAGGCAGCTCCACCAGAGCTGGGATCAGATTTCAGGCAGAAATGCAACCAACAGCTGGGCAGCGGGACCAGCCCACTCTGTGGGGATGGGGCCAGGTCTGCGCCTGTCGCTGCCAGCCGGAGAGGGGCAGCGCTGGGCATGGAGCTGACAGCAACTGCCTCCCACTGTGCCCCTGGGGGGACGGCAGTGCCTCTGTGGCCAAGAGCCCCTCTTCAGTGAACCTAAGGCAAAAAGGCCCAGCCCCTGCACTGTGAGATACAGGGGCTCCCTTTATAGTTTGTGGGAAAGGCAAACTCGGGCTACAAACAAAAGCGGAGTTCCCAGTGAGTTAGAGAGCTTCCAAATCCCAAGAGCCCAGATGATTCTGACAATTAACAGCAGACCCTCCGGTGCTCACTGATGGATCAGCACGATGCCAAGCACTTGGCCACATCATTCTGTTGTCTCGTTGGATCCTCAAAACAACCCTACATCGTAGGTTCTGTTGGAGACCCAAGGTCACACAGCTGGGACTTAAACCCACACTCACCAGATGGGGGTTGCTTATGTTTTGAACTTCCCTACTATATGCCACCTGTAGAGAGCCACTGATCCCTGGCTCCCAGAGGGACCCTGCCTCACCCTCTCTCCAGGCCTTGGCCTTGTTTTCATTAAACTGGAGTGTGGGTTCCCTGTTGATGGGTGCTACGTCTGTCTGTTCAGCAGGACACCGGGCCCATTAGGCAGCAGGCATTCAGCAAGTGTTTGCAAAATGAATGAATGAAATGAACAAACAGGCAGACAGATGAACGGAGTGATTTAGTGGTTTGTTTTGAGCCACTAGAGCTAAACCAGGCAGGGCCTCACCTCGGACATCTGGGAAAACTAGACAGCTGTGGAAGGGGGAAAGGGGAGATGGGGAAACAGAGGCACAGAAGAGCAAGGAGTGCTGAGTTTGTGGCCAGGAGCTGCTGGAGAGGACAAGCTGGGGTGCTGGGGAGTGGAGAGACCGTAGCTTACTTTAATCCAAGCCAAGGAAATCTGAGGCAAGATTTCAAAGAGGGGAAAAATCCCGCCCCCGCCGCGTTGGCCCTCCCAGCCCCTTGGAAAATTGGCCTAAGCGTTTTAAAGACTGACGTTTTGGGACCCAGGTAGAAAAGAGAATGTTCTCCAGGGATTCCAGAGCACGGAAGACAGGCGGTGGCACCTCTTGGAGGCTGCCCCAAGGCTGTGGGACAGACAGAGGGACACACAGACACTCTGCCCTCCCGGCTGCTCTCCCCTCCCCCAGCACAGGCAGACTTCCAGCTCCCTCTCTCTGGCATCTGTCTCTCAGGGCATTGCCTGCCCAGGACTGCCCGGGCAGGCGTGAGCTGTGAGCAGGTATCCAGATGAGAAAGCACTCGGCAGGCGGGCCCGGTGGGTGATGTCATCCCACAGAGGCTGCTCTGGATCCCCTCCCAGCCAAGGCCTGGAAAATTGGGGGCTGGAGGAGTCGGCCCAAAGTAGGAGGGAGGGGCAGGGCCATGGATGAATCCTCCAGCCTCTAGACGGGAAGGGGCTGACAGAGGCACAGAGAAGGGCTATACCCCTTCTAGAGAGAAGAGGCCCTCCCAGGTTGGAAGGGGACTTTGTAACAGTCTCATCCAGGGACGAGCCCCTTGTCACTCGGAGCCCCTGGCTGGATGGGCTCGGGCTCTGGCAGATCCCTGGTGCCCTTCCCCACACCTGCATTCCTCCAACTACCACCTGGATGGACCCCTGGCTTCTGCCTGATTCTGCCTGCCAACCTAAACTTCTAAATGAGACTTTTGCCAAGTCAGTCCCTTGCTCCAACACCTTCAATGGGTCCCTGTTGCCTACAGAATAAAGGCCAAATTCAAGTTCAGTCTTTCTGACAACCTGAGTTTCCCGGTTCCCTGACACATAACCCCCCTGTTCCAGGCCACATTCATGCGTCAACATACATACTGAGGGCACCATGTGCCCACCACGCTGTTCTATGTGGGTTCTTACCTCCAAGCCTTTGCCTTAGCTGTTCCCCCTGCCTGGAATGCCTTCCCTTCCTCCACCAACCCCAGTTCTCCCCAGTCATCTCTGACCCTCCAGGAGCTCCCTGATTTTACTCCAGCCATGGTGTTCACTCCTGGCCTCTGCTGGATATGTTTGTGGGGCGCTGGGCCCCAGTCAGCCATGTGGTTTAGACAAGAGTCTCCCTGATAAGAGTTGCCCCAGGCCTGGTGCCATAGGACGGGGCACTGGCCTTAGTTGCCTAAGATGATGCAAAAGCAGAAGATTCAACTCTGAGGGTCTGAGGGTCCAGTCCTGCTTTGCTCAGACTAGCTCTGTGACCCTGGGAGGGACGCTCAACCTCTCTGAGCTCCACTTTCCTTGTTTGTCAACAGGTACAGTACCAGTACCTACCCTCTGTGGGTTGTTCTGTGCATGGAACTAGGTGACAGGGTTAATGCCCTATGTAAACTATAGATACTATTTATAAAGCAAACAGGAAATGGGAGATTTGGGGAGGAGCAGGAGGGGCTCAAGTTCCCCTGCAGCCTCAGAACCAGCAGGCAGCTCAAGGCAAGGGCCACAGGCGCCAGGAAAAGGGTGGCTATGGCTGTGTCCCCAGAACATGGCTCCCTCTAACTGTACCTCCTGGCTGGCAGGGGATCCTTGCCAGCTAGAGAGCCAGATCAGAGCACCCTGGGCCCACTCCGGTGGGGGAGGCCAGGCTGAGCAGCCCCAGGACTCTCATCTTCAAGGATCCCCCCACATCAGCCCCTTACCTCTGAGTTTCCCGTCTCATGCACTCTCTGACATTCCAGATGGGGAAACCAAGGCCCAGAGCAAGCTGGCAGCTTGCCCAAGACTCCAGCTCTGAACTCCTAGTCTGGCTGGTTTTCCCCAGCCCACACTGCTTCCCCTCAGCTTCTCACTCCAAACAGCTGGGCTCGTCGTAAGAAGCCAAGCCCTGTGGTGGCCCCCACCCCAGGCTCCCCATGTTCTCAGGGATCCCCCCCAAACCCTGGCACCCCACAAAAGGTCCCTCCACGCCCCTCACAATCAGTTCCTCCCAGGCTGGACTTGGCCTGCCGGCTTCTCTATAGGCCCCTGGGAGGCCAGGCTATACGTTTCGTGAATAAAATGTATTGTTGTAGGCCAAGTGGGCTCTAGCTCGCTGGCTCGTAGAGAGGGGGAAAGAGGGACAGGAGCCCAGTGATTAGTCAGGCCCCAGGCCCTCGTCACAGACAGTACCAGAAGGAGGACTGCAAGAAGCCTGGGACAGGCAAGGGGTCCTCCTGCCTGCTGCCTTTCTCCTCCCAGGACGTGGGCCTCCCATTCCCTGTCCACAGCTGTGATGGGGAGGTACTGAGCCTCGGGCTGACTGCTGGGGCCGGCCCAGCCCCTCTGACCTCTGACCCTTCTGCCTCAGGCCCCCAACCACAAAGCCTGAATCTCTGCTCCCAGCTTTGGGCAGAATGGGTGTTTGTTTGGGTGTGTGTGTGTGTGTGTGTGTGTGTGTGTGTGTGTGTGTGTGTGTACGTGCATGTGCATATGTCTGCGTTAGCACTCTTAGAAATGGAGGGGCTCCTGGAAGCCCCTTCTGGAAATCCCACTCCTCTGTGGGCCACTATCTCCCTGCAGCAGCTGAGAACCCTGCTGTCTAGGGCTCACCACCACTGTCCTGTAAAACCAGAGGCTGAAGGAAAGCCCCTGACCCCTGGCCCAGCTCTGCCTGGACACAAGGCACAGGCCTGAGTCCCTGAGGCCCATCCTGGTCCAGGCAGCCCAAAGCCTGGCCAGGCCGATAAGGCAGAGGCTGCTCCAGGCTCTGGGGCACGGAGGCTGCGACACCAGTACCAGGTTTCCCCTGCCCTGCTGCAGCACCTCGGTGAGGACCACTGGAAACCAGGCTGCAGGGTCTGAGGCTTCAGCTCTCTGCCCCACGTTAACTGCCCGAAGTGAGACTGACCGTCTCCGGTGGGCCCTTCCCAGCGGACCGCCGGCGGAGCGAGCATACAAGGCGACAGTCCCCTTTCCATCGCCTGAGTGCTTCCCTCGTGCCGGGCTCCCTGGGAGGCGGCCGATCCCTGCCCAGGGAGGTCAAGTTCACTCAGCCAGCACCCGGTAGAGCCGGGGGACCAACCCACACGCTCCGGTCCACAGTGTATTCGTCTACACATGGTGCTCTGTGGCCATCACCCACTGAAGGCTCCGAGCCTGGACCTGAGGCCTAGAGAGGGTTGAAAGGAGGGCAGTGAGTACAGCTAAGGGAAGGGCAGGAGGGGGCCCAGTGGACCGCCGGCCTGCCGACCATGGGCCGCGGCCCATCCCAGGGATGCATGCGGCCAGCGGCGCCCACACGTGCGTGCCCGGGACACACATGCTCACACACACGCACTCAGGGCAGTACCTGTCACGTCCTTCCTGGGAGACTCAGCCCAGCTGGAGAGCCACACTTCCGAGTCCCCCACAGGAGCAAGCAGCAGGAGAGAGAGGAGAAGCAGAGGAGGAGAGAGAACCGTTAGGCAGGCAGGAGGTCTATGGGGCAAGTGGCCGCAGGCGCCGCTTTGGGCCACGGCGGAAGGCGGGGGAGGGGAGGGGAGCGATTTCCTGGCCTGGGGCTGGCTGCTGGGCGTGGGCCTGAGTGATTACAGAGGCTCTGGGACCCAGCCGGCCCCGGGATGGGGATAATGAGGTGTCTGTCGAAATGCAGGAATCCTCTGGAGCACAGAGAAGCCTACACAATCCCTGCCTGGAACCGGGCCCATGGCTTATCACTGCTGGAGAAAGCAGCCTGGACCTTTCTCTCTGGCCGTATGGGTGGGTGGCTGTCCCCACAGGGCCCGGTGGCTCTGAGGAACCTCACCAGGCCAGCAGGCTCAGCAGCACGGACCTGGAACCTCAAACATTCAGAGATGGAGAGCCCAGGGCCGGTCTCCGGTTGTGAGGCACCTCACCGCTGGGCTCTGATGTCTTGTCCAGCCCTAGCCCCAGCCCTTACCCAGTGAGGAAGACAGGTCGGGGCAGAATGGAAGAGAGCCTCATTCTGGACTCTCTAAAACACCTCGTCTCCAACCCAGAAGGACGGGGACCTTTAGTGACCATCAGAGATGAGGGCTCTGTCCCAGGCTCAGACAACTACATCTGATCTGGGCCTCTGTTTCCTCATCTGTGAAATGAGGTTAGAAGTGATCCTCCTGCCAAGAGGGAGGAGCAAAGTCAAAGAACCTAAAAGAACACATGACGGTGCGATGTGATACCATAAAGTGATGAGGCAGAAAGCTCTCAGCTCAATCAGTGGGGGGAACAGTTCTAGAATATCGGAGGGCCAACATGTAATAAACATGGACAGTCTACCTCCAGGATTCCGACTCATTTACTGCCTATAACAATCCCTTGAGGTGGGTCTGCATTTTTCACCCCATTTTATGGGAGAGGAAACTGGCCCAAGTTCCCACAAGCCCAGAGCAGTGGGGCCAGAAACGGAACCAGGTCTGGGATCAGAAAGGCGGGTGGGTGCTTTCTCTGCTGAATTTCTCATTGCCTCCAAAGAGCACAGCATTGGCTGCAGCTGCAGCAGGGACAAAACATTGAGCTGCAAACCTGAGAGGCACCCAGTGCTGGTCAGGAAGGCTGCCTGACCCAACGACACAAGGTAAAGACAACCGTAACGGCAGCAAAAGTTTACGTAGCATTTACTGTACACCAAGCCTCATGCTGAACACATACATATGGTAATTCATTTGCTTTTCAGAATAAACCTACAACAACAAGGTACTCCCTCCACTTCGTAGATGAGGAAAACCAGAGAGGTTAAGTCATTTGCCCAAGGTCACACAGCTAGTACCATGTCCATCTCATGTGGGGACACAGACTTTGGGAGATCACTGGATGCCACCCACCCTTTAAAGCACCTGATTCTCCCTTGCTCAAGCCATCTACCAGTTCAGGCTGGCTCCCCACGCAGAACCAAGAAGCCTGGGCCTTCCAGCTCTCCGTGGAACTAGAGGAGAGCAGATCTGGTAGAGGGGTTTAGCAAGGCCTCTGGAGTCTGACTGTGCGGATTCTCCTCTATGACGGACTTACTGAACCTCCCTGAGCCTGTTTCCTCTCTCGTAAAAATGAGATGAGACAATAGACTACTTCCTAGGTAACTACGAGGATTAACAAGATAAGAGGCAGTACATGCCCTGCACCAGGAAAATCAGCCTCCTAGAGCTGCAAGGCTGACAACCAGACAGTGTTTGATAGTGAGTGTGCCAAGAAAACGCTGGTAGCCGGTCACAGATGCCTTCCCGTAGACACCCTCCAAACGCCAGGTTAGCTGCAACTGGGGGTAAGAGACCCTGGAGACTGCATCCAGAAACAGGACTTGCAGCCAGAAGCCTCCATGGGCTTCAGGAGCCATGCTGACCCGGCTTCCATGCCCTGGCAGAGCTGAGAGTAGGTGGACACACCTAGGCCCTCTGAGGCCTGAGGCTGGGCCTGTAACTCCCTGCTGCTGTACCCCAAATGTGGCCAAGTAGGCTGTCACCCCGCAAGGCCATCCTAGGCACCCTAGTGCCAGACCCACCCCAGCTCCAGCATCCAGCCCCACTCAGCCCCATGCCGCCCCAGCTCAGAGGGTCCACATCTCCAGCTGTCTCTGCGGGCTTTGTTACTTTGTACCACTTCCATTTTGGTTTCTTTTGGGTTCTTCAGAAGGAAAACTTTTGGGAAATGCTAACTTCTTCCAGCGAGCCAAGGGAAATGATTTGGCTCAGGCCTGGAGAACCGAGGAAGACTTACTTTTCCGTTGGAACAAGGGTTAACAAACTTTCCCTGAAAAGGGCCAAAGTAGGTCTTTTAAGCTTTGGGGGCCATATGGTCTCTGTCAAGACTACTTACCTTTGCTGTTACGGTACAAAAGCAGCCCCTGACAATCTGTAGAAGGCTGAGTGGGCTGTGTGCCAATAAAACTTTATTTATAAAACTACATGGTGGGCTGGGCTTGGCCCATGAGCTGTGGTTTGCCAACACCCATGCTAGAAGATGAGGGCTGTCAGAGAGGGGGAGCTGCTGTCTTCCTCAATAGGGGGGTACCCCCAAGTCGTAGGAGAGAGAAGTGGGGACCCTTGGCCCACCAAGACTAAATGCTTACGAGGTCTATGCTCCTGGGATGACTTTCTCAATAATTATCTTGAAGGGCCTGATGCCCTTCCAGGTCCTTGGGGTCTGGGCATTTGGGCAGGCAGAGGGCGGGGAGCAGGACAGGAAAAATTCCCTCAGCCTCTGGAAACTGAGCCCCACGGCTAAGTGTGGAACAACCCAAGCTCATGCCCACCCCCTGCACCCATGCAACCCCCATAAGCAGGCCTCCCTTCGCTCTCCAAAGGAAAATGGGAAGTGGACCAGAAATGGGCCTGTCTTTTTAAAAACATGATTTATTTCCCAGTCCCCTGGATCTGCAGAATTAATCCAGTTCCGCTGCTCCCACCCCAAACCTCTCCCCACTTTGGAGTGCCTTGTCTCCAGCCCACCCGAGCAAGCCCTCTCCCAGGGTGGGAAGGACACCTCCCCACCCCCACCCAGGCCTCCTTACAATGAACAGAGGAGGACCCTGGCTCACAGACCCGGCCCTCCAGCCAGGAGGCAGATGAGGCTGCTGGCTGCGGGCTGGGAAAGCAGAGATGGAGGGACAGGACAGACGGAGGGACAGGACGAGGGAGCAGGCCAAGCCAAGGGAGCAGCTGTGACCGACACAAACCAACCGCTTCCTGCCCTCCGGCTGTCTCTCCGGCCTCTCCTGGTGACAGAACCAAGGGCCCTACAGAGCAGGGGCAGTGGAAAAACCAGGGGCTCCAGACTGGGAATCTGCACGACTGGTTTTGCTGACCATCCGCTCTGTGACCTGGGGCAAGGGGCTCAGCTTCTCTGAGCCTCAAGGCTCACTTCTGTCAAATCAAGCATTTGGGCCTAGCAGCAGCCAAGGTCCTCGGGTGATGTTCTAGGCTCTCCCAGCAGAAACCTGCTAGTCTGCAAAATTACAAGTGCTCCACAGCTGACATGAATCTTTCCAGAGAACTAGAGTACCTTTCCAGGGAAACCCACTTAAACACATGCTCAATATATGGAAACTCAAGTGGAAAAAAAAAAGAAAGCAATTAATTCAAGAGGCATAGAGTGCAGAGAACTGAGGCAAGAATTCTTTAAAATCTTGCTTCTTATACTTATCCTGCCACTCAGCTCCCTGGTCTGGGGCTTTTAGCCATTTCTCTGGGCCTCTTTTCCTTCTGTTCAATGGGGATAAAAATACTTACCTCATCTTCTTTGTAAGGTTGTTTTGAGAGTGTAGTGGCCTGTAGTGCCTGTGAAAGGTTTTGGAGGGGGAGGAAGGAGGCCCCTGGGACAGAAGGAGGGAGTGGGTGATGGGGACAAGCTGGGGACTGCAGCAGCGTGGGCTGTGGGCCGGAAGGCAGGAGGCGGGGAGACGAGGCCCCTCCCATGGTCCACCCCCAGCCCTCCTATCCCTCCCACAGCCTGTGCTCCCATTTTGCAAAATCAGCCAGAATCCAGGCCCTGAGGAAGCCAGATGCCTGCAGGTCCTGGCCAAATATGGTGACCCAAGGCCACTTCTTAGACGCTGAACTTGCTTCTTGTCTGGTCCAGGTGATTCGAGAAATCACGTAATGGTCACACAGGTGCCCCTGACTGTAAGGAACCCCCACACAAGAGACACCCAAGTACTACATAAAAACACACCTGGATAGAGCGAAGGTAGCAAAAGGATTGGGTCCTAATACAGTTTCTTTTAAACTTGACTAAGTCCAGAGCAGTGAGAAGTGGGTTTAATTTGCCCAAATCTAGTCTCAAACCACGTTTCCAGGAATCCTTCCCTAGTGTAAAAGCAAGTCCCACCCATTCAAACTAATAAATCCAGAGTGGGCTGTGAGCCCAGGTGGGAGAGACAGGAGAACAGCCAGCGGCATGATCTCCTTCGAGAAGGAAAGCCAAGCCAGAGCTCAAGGGACCGGGGCAAGGTCACTCACCTCCCCGGCCTCCATAGCCCAAGCCCAGGGGGCGCCCCTGGGAGGGGAGGAGAAGCAGGGACCCTGCTAGGGGCCCTGAATGAAATGAACACCCTGTCTTTTCCTCGTCCTTCCATTCTTCCAGCTCTCCGGATCCTTGAGCCCTCAAGACCTCCCCCTCCTAGGGAATTCTATTGTCCTTCCTTCACTGTAGCCCTGAACAGGGTTCTCCAGAAAGCCTAGTCTTTCCTCCCCTTTTATACAACTAAACTTCACACAGGGCTGAATTTCTTGGGTTTCCTGTAAGCTCCGTTTCTTTTCCTTGATTGACTAAGCTGCAGGGAAACACAGCCTCTGCTCTCAAGCCAAACCAGGGGCTAAAAGCTGCTAGCTGTGCCGCTTACCGGAGGGAGAAGGAGCCGCTTAATTTGCCAGGAGGGGCATAGAG